CAGTCACTTTAAAGTTAACTACTTTTATAAACACACGCTATAGTTCACAATGATTCACGCACTTTACTTACGGTGCCTACAGCTCGCTTGACTCAATTATCTATCTCACCATCTGCTATTATTTGCCGGGCTTATATACTAAAATAGAGGGCATCTGGCAAACACTCGGGCCTTCATGATCCTTCTAGAAACTCATCATGTATTACCAGCGTCACGTGGTTTCCGCTGTCATAACAATATATATATATATATATAAAGCTTGGATCCTATTCTCTGTCTTGCCATACCAGGTTTAGAATCTATAAACATGCCTATCTATTGAGAAGCATGAAATAATTGCAATGGAGGGAAGAAAAATACAACTAAAATTATTTTTCTTTAATGGTGAAAATTAAAGCTTTATTTCATTCATCAGGGTCCTTGAACCCCAAATTTCTTTGTAATTTAGACTTTTTAGCATGATTGTTTATTCTCACACCTTTATACATGATCAATGTTGTGTGCTTTGAAAATGTGACAGCAAAAGATTAGGTATTGGAACTAATAAAGTAGAATAAGAACTACAAGGTATTTCAGTTTGAGGTTTGGAAATTGATAAAAATTATAAAATACGTTTGAATATTATTCTGTTCATTTAAAAACTGCCAAAAATATTAATTTAATTAAGTATTAGTGATGAATACTTCACATACGAAAACATTGTTTCAATCTTGCATCTTTCTTGGTGTTACAATATTAATAGTAGCAGTAAAATTAGTTTGGAATTGTAATTTTCCAACCTGAACAACACCATAAACACATTTGGTTAAATTTGTAGTTCAAGTATAAGCTGTATATCCATTCCTAATTTTGAACTTACCAGAAGTAGGACAATTAGCTAGCAGACCCTTTACCCGTGCATCTTTTCTTAATCAGATAGAAGAAATGAATGTCATATTTATAATGCATCCATGGATATAAGTACAAAAGATATTCATTGGCATAGGCAGCTTGAATTTTGGACCTTCCAAACTGCTGTTTAGCAGACTATTGTGAATTTGCTTCCTCTGGCTGAGCTATCAAAAATTAAAGATACTGGACACAATGTAAAACATGGTGAAAACAAACTATTTATTTCTCAAACGTAGTTAAAATGAGTATATTTACTAAGGATGGCACCTTTATAAAGGAGCTTCCAGAAACCTCTGTAAAGAAGAAAATATGTTCCAGACAGAAAATACCGTAATATATATATATATATATATATACACAC